CTAAATGCAATTCAGCATTATGCTGAATGTAGGGGCGAAAATGCTGAATGCAGTTGGGTGGAAATTGAACATAAGGGCCCAATAGTACTTTTACCTCTCCAGGGGGTTATATCAAAGAAAGAATTTTAGGGGTGGACCTAGCCCTATATAAGTTCCATATGAAGGGTGTATATCAAATGAACCCATAAAATAAATAAACAAAAAGACAGGAGCTTATAAGTTATTTTTAAATTTTATAAATTATTTATTTTTTTGTAAATATAAGTTGGTTTTATTGTCATAATTTTACAAAACTCACGCGTTGTTTTGCTTTCATGGCCATCCACACCTAATATCTGTTATGAAATTGAATGAAAGAATCGACTATGTTGAGCAGTAGTATGTCGCCGATTGTTGCAGGGTGGGAGGAGGGTTTTTGTATTGTAATTTAGTTTCCAAAATAATTTGGTGAGGATTTTGTGGGAACTAGGTTGGAAAAGCTATCAGTTATGGCATGATTGGCGGGATTTGATACATGTTTCTAGGGATAATTAACGGTTTTTTGTGCATAAGTCCATAACCAAGCATCTTTATTATTCTAGATTTAGGGACAATATATCTTTCATCAATGAGCTCATTCATTTAATATTTATTATAGATAAAGGAAACTTTCATGTATATATGACAAAATTACCCCCAACCCTTTATACTTAATTCTTAATTATAACCCCAATTTAATCAATTTTGACCACAAAAATCCAATTTTGACTTTTTTTTTCAAAAACTTTTTTTTTCGAAAACAAAAATTTTCCGTCGGTCTCCGACGTTGACTTTTCGACATTTTTTTTTTGGTCTGTTTTTTCCGCCGCCGGATTTCGGCGTTGATCGCCGGTCTCCGGCGTTGACTTTTTTTAGTTTTTTTTTTTTAAGTCCGCCGCTAAACGTTGACCGTAATTGTGCTGTCACTAACAGTAAATTAACGTAATTATACTGTCAATGACAGTACATTAACGTAATTGTACTGCCGTTGACAATACATTTATGTAATTGTTCTGCCGTTGACAGTAAATTAACGTAATATTATTATTATTTTTTTTGGTATTTTTTTTTTTAATTTTGTTTGATTTGTTGACAAGTCAACGTAATTATATTATTACTGTAAACACAATAATATTATTGTCAACCACATCAATATTATTATTTTTTTCGGTTTTTTGTTTTGGTTGAGTTATTCAAGGAGTAACGTAGTAATATTACTGTCTATTATTATAATATTATTGTTAACACAATAATATTACTGCGATTGACGGTAATATTACTGTTGTTATAGTAATATTGCTGTCAACCACATCAATATTATTATTTTGTTTGGGTTTTTTTGTTTGTTTGAGTTATTCACGGAGTATCGTGATAATAATACTGTCGATTATTGTAATATTACTGTGGTTGACGGTAATATTACTGTTGTTATAGTAATATTATTGTCACAATAATATTAATTCTTTTGGTTTTTTATTATGTTTACATTTGTTGAACGGTCAACATAGTAATATTACTCTATTACACAATAATAATGAGTTTTGTTGTGTTAATATTACTGTGCTAGAGATTAATATAGCAATATTACTGTGTTAAACTGTAGTATAGTTAATTTTACTGTGTTTAACAGTAATATAGTTAATATTACTGTCAATCACAACAATATTGCTGTTTAAACGAAAAAAAAAATGTTACAGAAAGAAAGAAAGAAAGAAAGAGAAAAAAAAGTCAACGCCGGAAACTGGCGAAAAAATCAAGAAGAAAAAAAAAAGTCAATGCCGGAGACCGGCGGTCAACGGCGGTGACGGACGAAATTGTCCATAAAAATGTGTTTTTGGTCAAAATTGAATAATTTGTGAAATTTTGGGTCAAATTGAGGTTAAATTAAATTAAATTAAAGGGTTTATTAGGGATAACCCCCTTGTTTATATTTTCTAATGAGGTAGATCCAATTAATTTTTCCCTTTTTGAGATACACCCAAATTTGCCAACTTAGCAAAATATATTATGTAATTTCCCTTTAATACCCCTGTTTTATTTTTGAACGGCATTTATTTCCTTAACTACGTGATATGAGATTGCTGATACGTTGCCTAAAATCACGGAATAAAATTACGTGAGTATATTAGCGGTTTCTATCAAATCTTGTACAATCGGTTTTGAAGAATTTCTCCAGCGTTTCATCGTTTTCCATCGGATTTGAAGATTTTTTCACCCGCGTGGGAATAGGTTCAGATTTGAGCGTTCATCGTTGTCCGTCGTTAAACGGGTATGAATGTGTTTTTTTTCGTTTTTTTTTTTTTTCGTTTTTAATTTCGCTGTATTTATTATCACAACGTGTACAATCGGTTTTGAAGAATTTCTCCATCGATTCATCGTTTCCATCGGCTTTGAAGAAGTTTTCACCGGCGTGGAGGTAGGTTCGGATCTGAGCGTTCATCGTTGTCCGTCGTTAAGCGGGTATGAACTTTTTTTTTCGTTTTTATTTTCGCTGTATTTTTGTGCGGGGGTTGTTTTGTTATGGTGGGTAGACATTTTAAGATTTGTGTTGATACGTTGATTATATTGGTAGTAAAGAAGATCGTTTCTTAAAAAAATTACGTCGTCACATATACATCCTTATTTTGGCTGATGATGTTTGTTTGGAAGAGGATTCACAGAGTTGGCAGAGGATGGTTCACGCAGTCGGACCAGAGTTGTTTTATATGAGTGTCGTAGTTGGTTTACGCAATAATCGAGTGATAGTTGGTTTATTTGTTTATAACAGTTGATTTTAGTGTGCTCGGTAGTACATTGAAATACATTTTCGCAGTTTTTTTTAACTGATTGTATGGGTTATGCATTTTCAAGTTTATTTTTGATGATGTTAATTTATTGTCATTCAAATGTATTTGCAGTCTATTTAATCATTTTTAGTATTCAGCATTTTTAAGTTCGTTTCATGATTTTAGGTTCATATGATGGTGAAGTTGTTATTTCTGATGATGATGGAACAGGGGGTGGGGGTGAACTAGTTGGAGCCGTTGATGCCACTGGAAGTGAGGCATTGAATGCATGCTTTATGCAGTTGTTCGAAGAAGAAGTCGACTGCATTCCTGATGATAGCGACGAGGACATAAACTCAATGGATTCAAATGATTCCGATGGTTGTTATTTTCCAAACCACCCTAAGATTTGATATGTTTAATTAATGTCGTGTTTACGATGTAATGGCTCGGTAACTTCGGTTAAGTGTTAAACCGTTGTAATACAGTAGTATACTATTATGAATACCGTATGATACTACCATTATCATTTTATTATACTATTATGAGATTATTAATGTACTAGAGTTTTTTAACTCGACATATTGGTTTGATTGTGTTATGATGTGTTTTAAGTATTTTATCAAAACCCTAGATTGAAATTATGAGATTATTAATGTACTATTTTATTGGTTATGTTGGAATACTTTGCGTTGGTTTTGTTCTCAATGTTCTTGTCATTTCAGTGGTATATTGTTTGTAACACAATTTCATATCACTACTATAACCGTAATATACTATCATAGCAGATTAATGTACTATATTGAAATTATTAATATACTATGTGGTTGAATAATACGGGATCCATAGTCGATTAACGAGATCCATAGTCGAATTAGATCAATGAGATAGTCTATTACATGATATGGGATAGTCTAACAATATTAAAACACAAATCCGCCGCCATCACTTATCAGATCTAGGATTTTGTTGATTCTTCGGCCCAATAGTCAAATAGCTAAACCCATAGTCGAATTAGATATATGGGATAGTCTATTAAATGATATGAGATAGTTAACGTAATTTTAAAACACAAATCCGCCGCCGTCACTTCTCAAATCTAGGGTTTTGATGATTCTTCGGCCCATAGTCGATTAACGAGATCCATAGTCAAATTATATCAGTGGGATAGTCTATTAAATGATATGGGATAGTCTATTAATACAGATGTAATTCGACTATGCATCTCGTTAATCAACTATGGGCCGAAGAATTATCAAAACCCTAGATTTGAGTGATCCTAGATTTGAGTAACCCTAGATTGGAGCAGTGACGGCGGCGGCGACGGCGGCCAACGACGATATCACTCCTAATTAATTGTTACGACCTTGGAGGCGGGAGCGGCGGAGGTCTTGGTCGTTTTTGGCGGTCTTGGAGGTGGAGGTGGTCGGATGTGGTGGTGGTGGAGGACTAGGCGGTGGTGGAGGTGTTGCTTATGGCCAATATCGTTGTTATCGTCGGTGGCCACCGGCGACAACGGTGACGGAGGTGGCGGCGGTCGGAGGTGGAAGCGGCGAACCCGGCGGGAAAATATGGAGGGATTTCGGAGTGCAGAAAATCGTCAATCGCCGGTGTATAAATTTCTGGTTTTCTTTGGGACGTTTGCAGATTTTGGTAGTGGGTTTGTGGGATAGTGTTTTAACGGGAAAATAGAGAGAGATTTGATATAATTTCAAAAGGTAAAGTAACGGGATTTGTGGGATTTGATTGAGGGTATTGATGGAATTTAGTAAAATATGGGTTTTTATCAAAATGGCAAATTTGAGTTTGGATCTACACCTAATATTTGTAAGACTAAGGGGGTTATATCTAATGGACCCTAAATTAAATGATGAAATTTGAGCATATTAAAGTATGAGGGGCTATTTTAGTCTTTTACAAAAATCTGGACTATGTGTGGACTTTTTTTGTAAATGAGTTTATTGTCTGAATCTCTTTATGAATAAGTACCCATTGATGGGCTTATTTGTAAAGACCCCGATAATTAAAGTGTTGGACTACCAAGTTTGCACGTTTTTCACTTTTGGTCCTCCATTTACCGCCATCAACAGAATACACACTAATGTTGTCATATTTTAACACACTGAGTCCCTAAATCTATCTTCAAAAGAGCCCTTGTAGATTTTACAAAGCTATAATTTTCATCCCAAAAGTTGGTTTAAAAAACTCTAAATCTCGAACAAAGGACTACATCGAATGAGAAATCAGTATCGTTCTCGACTTTGAAGCCATCTTTAACCCCACCCGCCCCCATAGCACACAAAGTCGCATCTCCAATATACCGAGGACGACTTATACTAAAACATGATTCGTACGTTCTGTTCCGTTCGTACTTATTTCATTACATAACTAATTAAGTGCATTGAATTACGTACAAACATAAGAAAATGAAAATTAGAAAATCATCTCAAAGAATGTATATATCTTGGAGTTGTACAATCATCTCAAAGAATGTATACACACACAAACCAACTTCTCATCTCCATTTCTTTTCTCCTTCAATAATCGACATTCACTCTCGCCGATAACATTTTAAAAGTCCAGCTCTCAAATCACTTAATGTGATTGTCAATAGTTCATCACCTTTAGATTTCAAATTCAGCCTCGAATCAAGATTTTCTCGAGCATTGTTCAACATTTGATCAACCAAACCTGCATTCAGTTTGTTCCGTAGCTTCTTTGTGGAGTTCTTTTCAATCACTTTAAGAATAGCACCGGATGTACATGAGGGATGCAGCTTAAATCCGTACAACTTGCTGTTCTCATTTTGCTCGCTCATCTTTATCTTTACCATCTGTGCAAGATCGTTGCATGTAAAATCATCAAATTTAAAAAAATGGGCAACTCTTTTGCAAAATTCCGCATTCGAAGAGAACACACGCTTCATCGGCTCAGTTGAACCAGCAAAAATGACCACAATGTTTCCATCTTCCATCGCAGACATAATCTCTTCCATTGCCTCCACACCATAGTCTTTGGTGCTATGCTCAGGTGCTAAACGATATGCTTCATCAATGAACAAAATCCCCCCCATGGCCTCTTCGATCTATAAAAGCGTCAATCCAAAATTATTAAAACATGAAAGAAGCTTTAAGAACATTACGGAACTTTAAAAAATAATAAAAATTTCTTTACTTTTTTTTTAGTCTTTGGTCCGGTTTGTCCAATGGACTCTCCTATCAAATCCGAGCATTGCACTTCTGTTACACTATCAGAACAAAGTACACCAACAGATTGAAGTAGTTTGCCTAGGATTCGTGCCACGGTGGTCTTACCTGCACAAGAAATACTCAAAGATCCAGTTAATAAATAAATAAAAAAAAGACGAGACAACAGCGATATAAATAACGGGCCATAATTGAGCGAAAATACCTGTCCCGGGATTTCCAAGAAACGCCATGTGAGGTGGTTTTCTTGGTCCAGGATTTATCCCCATCGCACGACGTTTCTCGTCCATGAGCATCACCTTTGCCCATTTTTTGAGCTGAAGTTTAAGCTCATGCAATCCAACCATCTTCGATAGTTCTTGATCAAACTCTTTCATCTTTCTTTCTATTCCATCTTCATCATCTTGGGATCCATTTCCAGTGAATGAGGACCCCGAAGTATTAGATTGTCCCGTCTCGTTTACGTGTTCCTCGTTATTTCCAGGCCTAGATTTGCCTGGTGTATTCTTCATTTCCAATACGAACTGTTTTATGCATTCTTCGTAACTCTGTCCAGTCTTTGATGTATTAACCTTTTCCACGAATTCTTTTATCTTTTCTTTGTAGTTTTCAGGCCTTGAGCCGCCTGATGTATTCATCATTCCCATGATCTTGTTTATTTTTTCTTCGTAATTTGCAGGACTTAAGTTTCCTGATGAAACGATTCCCATTATTTTATTGATGCGATGTCCAGCCTTTGAGTGGAGCATTTTACTGTAGATCGGTGTTGCAGAATTGTCAGTTTGAGTCGGAGCATCAACTTTCAGAAATTTCACCAATTCATCGTTTTGTAGGCCTATTGGGAGATAGTTGAAAGGAATCATACCCTCCTGCCCACATCCATGATAAATAAAAGTTCATTATCAATGAAAATCAATATTAAAATTAAATAAAAAATGAATATGAATCATACATCGTCTTTGGCGGAACAATCAGCATTATATTCTGATAACGTTATCACAATCGAGTTGTCTCCAGATCGAAGTGCATAACCAACTGCAAGATGTAATGGAGTCATCGAGTTCTGCAAGAAATTCGGACAGCAAAAAAATTGTAAATAAGGTTATGAAATTCAGATACTGCAAGTATTTATTAAGACACAAAGGAAAAATAAAATATTGTACATTTGTTCTTGCTTCAATATTGACACCAGAGCCGAGAAGCAACTTGGCCGCCTCGTTGCATCCATTCTTAGCTGCAGTGTGCAATGGAGTCTCGCCGTACTGTGCATACAATGGTCAGCGAAATGGAGAAATATATTACAGTAAGATGAAAATATAATTATGAAACCTTAATACATTAATTATTGTTTCGTCGACATACATACCGCATTCTTAGCTTCCAACTCCACTTTCCCTGGTCCTTCCCAGTCAAGCAAATACTTTATTATCTCAATTTTATTGACACTAGCAGCAATATGCAATGGGGTTTCTAGCATCTACACCCAATAAAAATAACAAGCAATCGTCAATATACCAGGAAATATAATATATATATATATATATATATATATATATATATATATATATATATATATATATATATGGACACATGAAAAGCACAAGGTGCATTCATAAAAGCCGAACATATTTCTATGAACGCAGTTGTCAGAAAATTTAGTGTATGACGAGGAAATCTTGAATTTTCTGATTCTATTGATAATATTTGTCTAACATTTTGCAGAGTTTGTCTATTTTCCTAAGATGTAACAACAAATGATGGAATGAACTACCTTAGATTCAAATATCGATCACAAACCATAGTGCATTAGCTGATCATGAAAGAAGAATCGGTATTATAAAACACGCAATTCGCATAGAAATTAATAAAAATCCATTTTAGACAGTAATAGTATCTCAATTCTCAAATATAAAAGTTGAGTTAACTGCATAGACCCATATGAATTATTTAATTGACGAAAAAGTCCTTATGTTAAAAAAGTTAGCATTAACCCCTTATAATGAGTTCTATTTAGACTACCGCCCCTTACATCAAATTTCGTTGTTGATATTGTTGAAACGACTAAACTACCCTGATTAAAACAAGGGCAAATTCCACTTTCCCCTCATGTACTTTGACTCGGGATCACTTTACCCCCTTTTTGCAATCGATTGCAACAATCGACCCCCTCGTACTTGAAAAATTGTCACAATGCAAAGAATTGCACACACTACACCGAAAACACACAGTAAACAAATATACACACACCACCGAAAACACACACAAATAATACACAGTACATCGAAAACACACAATAAAAAAAATTACACACACTACACTGAAAACACACACTAAAAAATATACACACACTACACCGAAACACTAAAAAACATTACACACACTACACTGAAAACAAACACTAAAAAAGGCCCTCGCCGGTAGTTTCAGACAGTTAACCTTAACACCATTTCGTCTAAGTACTGAAAATTACAAAAAACAGCACACCTACTAGTTTGAAAAAAAAAAAAAAAAGAAAAAGAAAAAGAAGTACACCATGGGAAAGAGCTAAAAACCTCAAAACAGTGGAGCCATTTATCACTGTTTCCAAGATCAACAAACAACAAGAAACAAAAATTAGGGAGATCGGAATTGCCTAGACGAAGAAAGTGGGTAATCCAAGTTTTTAATTTAATTAGGGTGATCGGAATTGGACTGCTTCATTTGTGAAGCTAGAAAATGATAGTATAGCCAAATTTTTGAAAGGTATTCTAAATAATAGCACCAAATCAAGTGCGTATTTGCAGAATTTAACTCAAAATGTAAGAGAGAGAGAGAGAGAGAGAGAGAGAGAGAGAGAGAGAGAGAGAGAGAGAGAGAGAGAGATCTTACAAGAGCATCACTAGTTTGATTAAGGAGAGAAGGATTTTGGAGAAGTAGTTTCTGCAAGCCATCGAGATTTCCTGCCTCTGCGCATTCATGAATGCTCGTGATTTCTTCAGTAGACATCTTTGATTTAGAAGACCTTAAAATTATTTAAAGAAAAGAAAAGAGAAAAAGAAAATTAAGGGGAATCGGATATTCGATGGAGGAGTTCTCTCTCTCTTCTTCTTTTTGGGTTTAGAGTTGTGGATTCTTCATCGGGATCAAGAATGAGTTGGTCGTCTCTGTCGTTAAGTTTTTGACTTTGTCTGCTGTTATATGAAAAAAGTCGACTTCATTCTTTGCCTTGCAATTTTGAGCTTATTCACATTCAATCATTCATGCAATTGGATGCTTTAATAAATAAAAGGGTAAATTCTAATTTCCCTTATATTTTGGCTTGATATCGCTTGACCCCTTAATACTCTCGATTGCATTGATTTGTTCTATGTACTTAAAATTTTGTCTCAATGTGGCATTCGTTATTAGTTTTCACACCTTTGACGTTAACATCATTTGATATAAGTATAAATATTACAAAAAAACCACTCCTCACAGTTTAAATAATTATTAAAAAAATAATAATAAATTGTGGTTGTCGTCGTGGACTATGCTTTCTCATTGTCTTAAACTTTTATTAGGCCTTATTTTAAATGCCCGCTAGGTATCAAATAAACTAGGAATAAGCCCAAGTCAGATTCATCCTTTGACATACCCCCTGAAGAGGCGAAAGTACTATACTACCCTTATATGCAATTTTCGGCCAAACTACATTTAGCATTTCTGGTCATGTATTTAGCATTTTCGCTGATTTATTTGTTATTATTAATTTTTTTGTAAATTTTTTTGTTTAATTTATATATAATTTTATTATTTTTTTTATTAATTTTTTTTATTTAATTTTTCTTTCTTTTATTTTTTTTATTATTTTCTTTTATTTTTAAATTAATATGTTTGTTGTACAGAAAATAACTACATGTAACTGTAGTAAATTGTCGCAATTCGTAGTTATGTTCTTTTTTTTTAACCAATATTTTTAGTCGATCAATTATATATACACGCGAATATTGGTTATACAAAAGAAATTCATAAACCCTAGCAACAAAAATTTACAAATATCAAATATATATATATATATATATATATATATATATATATATATATATATTATAAATCACATCAGAACCAATAAAATACAAATCGAAAATACACAAAATATATGCATATGTAACTAGTAATGTATAGTAACGTACAATAATGTATACAATCTGTTGAACACTGCAAATTTAACTTCAACCAAATTTTTGACACCTTCAAGAATAGGATCATTGGCCTTCATTAAGCTGCTATAGCAAAATCAAAACAAAAAAAATTATTTTAGTGCAAATCAACAAAAATTGAAGAAACATCAAAATACTCAAAAATCAACAAACACTAAGAAATCGAGAGATAAAGAGAGAAATGACATAGCTGCGAAATGCTACGAATTTTAGACCAAACCGCCAATGACTCCTCACCCCAATCACATCCTACCAAAACCCTAGCCGCCGATAATTAACCACCCAAGGTTCCACGCTCATAAATGAAAAAAATATAGAAATAAATTTGACAATATAAAAATGAACAAAATTGCCATCAAAATATAGATCTCAACGAGAGGAATCCAATGGTGGGTAGCCCGTCAAATTCTGACTGGCGGAACACAAATTACACCTCCGGCAAGACCCACCGTCGTCAAAATACGCACCGACTGAATTTTTTTTGCAAAAACAGATACAACGCTCCAAACTGAATGAAATCACCAAAAAAAAAAAAGGAGCTCAACGAGAAGAATCTGACGGTAGTTAAAACCATCTAATTCCGACAAGCGGAGAGAGAGTTATGACTCCGGGAAGCAACTTCGCCGGTTGGAGATCTATGGGGGCGGGATTTGAATCTGAGAGTTGAGAGAGCAAGAGAGAGACGACTGTGAGTGGCTAGGGTTTAAAACAGATTTTAAAAGAGCATTTCAGGTACTTCAGGATGGGCGAGGGAGTCTGTCAAATTAATTTCAAAATGGAGGAGGTATGCACAAGGATGTAATTAGCTTGGTGGTTAGTTACATATAATTTCCATATGAGGGGTCTCTAAAATAATCCCTTTTTATAATTAATTTTTTAATTTTATTTTTGTTTTTTTAATAATTATTTAAACTCAGAGGGGTGACGTTTTTTTGTAATTTCAGTGCTTAGACCAAATGTGTTAAGGTCAAATATCTGACAATTAACAACGAGGACCACATTAAGAAAACTTTTCAAGTGCAGGGTCAAATCGATGCAATCGAGAGTAAACGAGATAAAGTGATATCGAGCCAAAGTATAAGGGGGAAAGTGAAATTTTCCCTAAATAAAAAAGGGGCATTTAGCTATAGACCCCTCAAACCGATAAGATATAGACATAAAACCCAACCCTAAATTCATCATTCGCAATACCCCTAGCTTTTTTTATACCTAAAATACTTTTCATTTACTTATTGCATCAGTAATTATATGGATTGTATTTAGCAATTTTGGAGTGCATTTTATAATTTTCTGACTGCATTTAACATTTTTTATTAAATTTTTAAACATGTTTTGAATATTTAAAAAAAATTAATTTTTTTTTAAACAAAAAATTGATTTTTTTCTCCCGATAAGTTTACTACGCTGAATATGACTATAGTTAAATATGACTATAGTCTAATATGACTGACTATATGTGACTATATCAACTGAAGTCTTATTATTCCTTTATATTGCCCTTTTTTACATTTCAACTTAAAAATTCTGATTATATAGTATAGTAGAGTCATGCTTACCAAATTATAGAAAACAACGAAAATTGTCTATTATTCACGAATACAATCCAATCAACATCCACACAAAAAATTAAAATTTGAATGTTGTTAATACAAGTTAACTTGAAATGAGAAGAGAGAACTTGTTATTTGAATATGACTATAGTCATGCCGACCCGACCACCGTGGACCAGGACCCGGACCCGAGTTTGCATGGGTCGGTTTCGATTCTTGTTTTTGTGGACCAAGACCCGACGGGTCTACCAGAGGAGGGTCCACCCGAATTTAATGTAAAATATCACAAAAAAATGCATGGTTTGGGACTTGAACCAGGTTTACAAAAGTAGTTTAGTAGAGTACTAACCTTTCGGGCAAAATAAATTATGATAATAGTCCTAACCATAAACATATAAATATAAATAAAACTGTAAAACGATTATAATAATTGTATAACTCATGTTTAATAAATTATTAATTGTCATATTCACTATTATTAATATTAAAAATCTCCACTAATAACAAAAATGCATATATATTTAATTTAGAAAAATATAAAAAATTACGGTTCAACCCATGTAATTAAAAAAAAAGATTGAATTCTGAATTTATTTGACTTTTGAAAATTTGAAAAATCTCTCAATTATTATTTTCACTTATAAATACCCCTAATATAATCTTCACAACCTTCATTTTATTTAGATTATATCTCAAGGTGTTAATAGTTTCAATTTTTTTAAAATTATTTAGTATTTAAATTCAACTTCCTTTTTTTTTTTTTTTTAATTTTGAATTTAAAGTTAATCTCAAGTTTTTTTTCAAGTTTCAATTTACTATTTTTTTTCTTTCTTGTAATTACATGGAAAAAAAATTGAAAAATCGTTTTGGACCCGGACCTGAACCCGAGTGGATCCGCCTCCCCATAGGTCGGTTTTGGGTCCCCTAAAAGTCGGACCCGGGCCCGGCTCGGACTCGGAACCGACCCGACCCGTAGTCGTGTATATTACTATTGCTGCTCAAATCTAAAACTGTATGTTCAAAAAAAAAAAAAAAAAAAAAAAAAAAAAAAAAAGGAAATTGATATATAGATAGAAAGATAACGAAAGGGATGAGGGGCGGTCGACGACAACGGCGGTGGTGGCGATGAATGAAAGAGAGAGCAAGGGAGGCGACGACGCTGGTGGTGGTGTACAGATCTGGAAAAAAAATTGAGAAATGGAGAGAGATAATGAAAAGGATATAAAGAGATATACGTGGAGACAAAAGATGCGACAACAACGGCGTCGGTGGTGGTGTACAGATCTGGAAAAAGAAGAGAAAGAAATCGAGAGCATTAAGAACAAGAGAGAAAGAGATTTATGGGGAGACGAAAAAGGCGGAGGCGACAACGAGCGGCGATGGTGGAAGGTCAGAATTTTCGGAGAGAGTTGAGGGATTTAGGTGGAGAGGCGGAGAAGGTTGAGGGATTAGAGTTATACTAGTTGAGGGTATTTTTGTCTTCTCACACTAGTCCAACAGGTTTTCACTAATTTAGAATGAAATTTGGGTGTAGGCAAAAGACTTTAAATTCAATTGGATTTAGTTCAAAATATTTCTTATTTGAGGGGGGCATTGCATATTTCCCCATAAAAAAATCTTATAGTAGAACCTCCATAAATTAATACCCGACAAATTAATAAGTTCGCTTAAATAATAAACTTTTGCGGTCCCGACTCGGGGACAACGTGCTAAATTAATAATTCGCTAAATTTATAAGATAATGGACATTCAAAAATTTAAGAAGCCCCGTATAATATATAAATTAATAATACATAAAAATAATTCTTAAATTACATGGAACAGTATATTTTATAGATCTATGAAGAATGAATAAAATATAATTTAACTGGCGCTTGTTTCTTGATGAAGTTCACATTACCATCAATCTCGTCCCTCACTTTTCTTAACATGATTAGGTACTTCTCGTATAGTTTTCTCATAACTCAACAAAAAATGTTCAATACCATTACTGCTCTAAAAGCTTCCGTTCGTGAAACGGGTTCTATAGTGTATTGAATTATAGGTACAATGAATAATATACATGTAGTTTTAATTATTGAAAATAATAATATAATAATAATTTCATAAATTAATAAGTTATTAATTAATGTATAAATTAATAATTATTAATTTATCGATAAGTTAATACTTCACTAAATTAATGGGATTTTGATGTTCCCAACTGTATTAATTTATAAAGGTTTAACTGTAATTCAATTCAAGGTTGTTTCCTGAGAAATTGGGGGCCCTAGGCGAGTTTTAAGCATTTGTAAAAAATGGGCCCATATTTGTATTATATAATATACACATTAATTCATTCTAACGAGCACAACTGGACAAGATTTTTGATTAGCAGTTAAGAATTTTGGGGAAAATATGACTAAAATATTGACGATATTAAGGTAAATGAAAAGTTGATGGGATTCAGGGCAGAGCCC